GGATCTCCTTGTGGTCCACAATCTTGGCCTCGGAATCGGCGATACTTTTGTCGACATCGATGAGGAACTCCCAGCGCTCCACAGTCTCCGTCGTCTCCATATTGACGATCACTAACACTATTTTGTGGACACTCTTTGTCACCATAAATGTCTTCAGTTGTGACAACACTATCGCCAGGTATTCCTTCAGCTTCTCGTCGATTGTCATCAATAAAGTTAACCCATATTTCTGGGAATGAATGAACTGTTTGGGCGCAAAGTGGCGTCAAATCAATTGTCACCGATTGGATCAACTCGTGTGCATCACTTACCCGATCGGATGGATATAACCCTCTTTGATATAAAATACTATTAATGCCATAATCTGTCAAAAATGAGTGACCATTAAAACGAGTGCTCCTTTTGTCAGACAATGTGTGTTGTCTTAACACTTACCGAAGAACTCAGTGATGATATCAACGGATCCCTTAAGTGTGATTGAATTGCAGACCAATGTATTTGAACTCATGGTTGAATCGATGCGAGCCTTATATCAAGTATTCAATCAATTGTTTGTCTAATTGAGTGTTGAATTGATTGAACAGTTTATGCGTCCATTCATTGATCGCCAAAACAAAGTGTGAAATGAATTTCAAATCTCAAAACCAAACTTTTCTATTGGTTTGCGTTTCGAGTATAGGTTTGAGCGCTAACTTTGAATACATGTTTGACTGCAAAATCAATCATATGTTCACTTATTTTAATTCAATTATTAAATTTAATTATTAATTCTAATCTATTATTTAAATATTTATTTTTAAATTAATATTTTTCAAAATAAACACAAAAATTAAATTTTTTAAAATAAATAAAATACTTCACTTCTTTGGTGTCAAAACTCAATACTGAAAACAATCGACAAAACCGTGTGATAAATAAATACACTTTTGTTCGCAAAATATTTTATTTTTAATTTTATTTAATAATTCAATACAAATGAGAATAAAATATGCATTTAATGAGTAAAATATTATAATTTAATTATAAACAATAATAAAGATTTAACGCCTAGACTTGGATGGCTTTTGTCTTTGTTTGGATTTGTTATTATTCTTATTATTCTTACTCTTATTGGGTTTCTTATTATTCTTGCCTTTAGTGTTGGTTTTATCGTTTTTCTTATCCTTCTTCATGCGTTGGTCGACCACTTTATACCTACCCTTTATTCCTTTGGGGGCTCTCTTTCCCTGATGTTTCTTCGTCACCACATAAGTCACCTCTTTCTTGTTGC